ACGAACAATTACATTAATATTCAAATGATTATTGATGGAAACAACAAAGGGTTATATATACTGTAGCACAAATAGAAAGCAGAACATACTTCCTTAAATATCATATTCTGAATGTATTCGACGAAAACATTTGTTATATCTATGTTTTTGAAACCATATGATTTCATTTGGTTTGGTTTAGTGGCAAAGATTCGATTTCATATGTAACTTTAAATTTCACTACTTTGTAGATCGACCTAACCCACCCCAGATTACACGAGGACCTGAAGTCGCTACAGGCACCTACCGGGTATCTTGTTCCTCTGATGGCGGCAGACCAGCACCTGAGATAAAATGGTTTAAAATGCAGAGTTCTGATCAGATGCAGGTGGCGATAAATGCAACCTCAAACACGGTGACACCTCAGGGAGACACTTTTCTGGTGGAAAGTGAAGTAGAAGTGATGGCAACCCAAGCAGATCCAGTTGAAGTAATTTGCCAACTACTGCACGATTCTCTTACAAGTCAGACCAAGACAAGTATCATAGTTCCTGAGAGTGCTGGTATGTATATTTGGTTTGTGTATTTCGGATTGGTAGTTTGTTCATTTCATTTCACTTGCGGACCAAAATAAGGTACTGGAAAAGCCTTAACTTTAACGCAAAGAGCTTATATCTTTGTTGTAACATACTCAGTAAAACATATTTCAACACCATACTTGTGCGTGCTCGTTTTACTGCTTTTCTGAATCATTCTTCTTGGCTCGTGGATGTACATGAGGCACAATTATTATCACGTATCTTAAGAAGTGACTGAATATCTTTTTAGCTCCTTCAACTACCACTACTATGAAATTCACTTATGATGCAGGTAGGTACAATTTATGATGCTTTTATTTTTCTTAATTGCTTCATTTAAAAACTATTTGTCCTGATAAAAAAGAATGGACGTATTAAGTCCCCCATTCATTTCTCATGCCTTATCCTGTTTTACCTATTTACATGGAATGCACATCCGTACATTTATTATATGTTTATCTACTTGGGCGTAGAATTAAAAGTAAAATAAAATGTACACTTTTGAAATAATCCAAAGTCTAATTCTTACGTTAAGAACTATATAAAAACCCCTGAAATATAAATGCCTGACGTCGGTTGTTATTTTTGAAATATACAAGATGACATAGCTTTCTAAATAACTGGTGAGTAATTTAGAAACAAATCAAACTAAAATCGAATGAAACCCCGATTCCAATTGCCGTCAATGATTTGTTAGTAAGTGAAAATTGTCGTTTTCAGAGGAAAAGTCAATTTGGCAGGTAAACGCCGAATAGAGTGCCTTAAACATTAAGTTTTAAATGTAAATATCCTTCAAAAAGTGAACCAAAAAGCCTTTCAACTCTTGAAAGTTGGCATTATTTAAAATAATATAGTCACATTGATCTATGAGACTTCCGATACCAAAAATATACTCCAACACTCACTCGTTCGTGTTTTATTTTATTGCTCCACATTTCTGCATTATTTTTCTTTGCAATGGGATCGACAAGCCCCCAATGATGCAAGGATTATAATTAGTTTTCTCTCGGCAAGTAGTCGATTGAATAATAAGTGCCTCTTTATGTTTTTTTCAGCTCTCTCAGCTAACAAACCTGCAAAATCTACAGGAGGTAGGTGCAGTTCGGAGTAAATTGTTTTCGTTTGCTTCAAAATATGATAAAAACTTTTCAAGCCAACCATAAAGTACTCGTTAGTTTAAGTCAATTCTCACGCTTTATCTGGCATAGCCAATTAGAAGATCATACAGGTTTACATTCAACCACAACCTTTCCAGCTGTAATGCAAACAATCTTAGTCAGTTTAGGTGACGCTAATTATTTTTCAGGGAATATACTTGCTTACATATTAATTTATTCATTTATAGTCTGTTTTGTATTTCTCTTATATCACATTTGCAGTGTCTCCAACTACAACAACATGTAATTAAACCAAGAGCACTGCGGAACACAAACTGAGGTGTACAGTACTCAGTACCTGTTGGTTGAAGGGGTGGGCGGGGTGGGGGCTTTGGTAACCGACCGTGAACTTCTACTTGATAATCTTCTTTGTACTGGGACACTCTCATACGGTTAACCATGCTTCGGTATCATAAACGTGAACGTGGCACATCATAAGACATTCCGGGTTGATATTTTACAGTTGAGCTACCAATGTGTATATTATGTTTCAGTTGACAAAAGTCAGATAACTTCTACTCGATAATCTGTATCCATCACCCTCTCTTCTTGGTACTGGGACACTCTCATCCGACTAACTATGCTTCTGTACCATCCTTATAAATTAATGTGAACGTTGTAGATCATTAGACATTCCGGGTGAATATTTTAGTGTGGTCGTACCAATGGGTATATTATGTTTCAGTTAACAAAAATCAGAAAGGATTATACTTGGCAACCCATTTAAATTATATCTTTTGTATTTCAGGCATTGATGGGGGAACAGTATCAATCATTGTGGTATCGTTGTTAGCAATGTGCCTTTTTTGCATAATTGCATACCTTGTATTCCGCATTCGGTCATTGTCCAGGAGACTCAAATCACAAGCTTCTGAACAGCAACATGGCAGTGTTATTACAAACACTGTTAACAGTCCATTCAATGTCCAAGTATCTATGAATCGCGCGACAGATCATTCCTCTGGTTTTGATGGGGTTCATGTTGACAATGACGATACTGCATTGGCGAATAGTTACGAAGAACTTCGGCGGGATAACCGTTCAGATGGGCAATACATGGAACTTGGAGAGAACCTATTGCCGTCTACCGCCACAAATGGTATTGGTGACTATAATTACATTTAATTTTCCAAGGATGACCTCAAGACTAGTCAATTCAAAGGTGGCCCAGATGAGTGATTGTATTGTATAATATGCCTAAGGGTAAAAATATTAAACCCTTAAAGAATAGGAAATTATCATGAAAATTGCAGATTTAACGATCTTGAACTCCACATTTTGTGGCTGTACAATAGATGAAGATGTTTCGTTATAGTCAGGAACCTCTTAACATGTACTTTGTTCGTAATTAAAAAGATACACAATGTTCAATGTATAACAAAATGACTTGAAGATGTAAATTTACATGCATATGTCATACAATCATCAAAGTGCCATGCTTCTTGCATACAAGTATATGACGCAGGCAAAACAATTTATAGTAAATGATTCCGATTTTAAGTATTTTCACACTGTACAGTATTGAATTATGATAACATGCTAGTTTGGTGTCGCAAGCTACGGCTAAACTGTTAGAAGAGAACATCTGTGATTTTAGGCATTAATAAAATCAATTAATTGTTGAAAACTTGTTGGTATTGGCTGTAATAGTTTTGTTACATTCCAAGACTGTGTTGCATTTTCACATTACGTAGGACGCTTCAAGGAATTTGTTTTCACTGTGACAATGTGTTGATTATTACTTTACTTAAATGAAGAATTGATTCCTAGATATATAAGTCATCAGTTATTGCTTTTAGCGTCTTCAACCTGTTGCCTAAACTTTTGGGTTTTATAGGAATTATCGCTAGCTTAATCAGTTGTAAGTATTGCACTGAGGAATACACATGTCGAACGGTGTATGTGATAAATTAATACATAAGCACTTTTCACCTAAAAGCTAGATTGCTTTGTTTTCATGGATGAAACAGTTCGTTTATATATTAACAGATGTTTTTATCTGGATGTAACATGGGTAATTTTATTTTACGTATAGACATATACGTATTATAAAGGTGTTCTGTGATTTAATTTTAACATTTGAATAAATTATATTCAAACCAATTTTTATTAATCCCTTTTATTGTTCTATATGATTAAAAACCCGTAAATAATAAAGTTAATAATATAAAATTTAATGTACACAACACTGAAAACTTCTTGATTTTCTTCATTACAATTTGTGCGTCACAAGTTTTTATGTGCGTATTTGTTGTAAAATAAAACCCTTTTGAAAACATCCATATCCATGCAATCAAATGGCATGTCACTATGTGCGACAATGAATTCCAGACTCAAAAGGACATAAAAAATGTCTCTTGATAAAATCCATATATGCTTTACAGTGTAGAAATAGCACAACAAAATACAGTGTATCACTAAAGCCCCCATCACTGAATGCATGCTTTCTGCGCCTATCTACGACCAAAGACGTAGCCTGCAGGACGCTCAGTGGTCGCAAATGCAAGAAAACCGTGTCCGTGTAAATGTCTGTTACCCTTATGTGTGTTTTCAACGAGCAAGTCTGGATTTCATGTCCAATTGCCAGCGACCTGAATGACTTTCATGCCTCCCATGTGAGTCCACTGAGCAGCCTACAACGTCCATTGCGATGTTTGAGCATCCATTGAGCAACCAGGTTGTGATTTCTGTACCCTCATCAGCGATCAGTGGCGACCATTCTACGATTTTTCTACGATATTATGCTAGACCGATGACCGATGTTTGGGCGTCCTTTGGCGACTGCTGTACGACCGGAAGTGCTGAAATTTTCATTCACGAGTTCTGCTTGTTCTATCATTAGTTTTTAGTATCTTGCGAAAATATGAAAATAAGTGTTTTACAATGTTTGCATTTTAACAGAATTGACTTTAAATGCAGTTGTGCTACAACGCACTGTAAATACACAAAAGTTTATTACGCTTAGCATACAGTGTTGGACTTAGTTTTATGAATGCACCATGCAAAGAAATTGTGAATATTCTGGGTATTTTTTTTTTGCTATGTGTTAATAATATTTGCACTTTCTTAACATATTTCGTAAAATAGCACAGCAATGATCAACCCTTCACAACTAAGAAATCCCATGATGCTGTAGACTAATTTATACAGCATCACTTTCTGTACCGACAGTTAATTGTGTTAGTTGCACTGTGGTGCCATTTGCGTATAGGGTAGCAGTGGGGACGTTATTTTTAACTCTCAATAGAAAAGTGACTGCAGCTTATTGATGTATGAACAACGAAAAGTAACACAAAGGGGGATCATGAAGGAGTGGTGTCTTTATGTGCTGCTCTGTGCAGCTCCATATTCAACCAAAGGTAGGAAGTAAAAGTGATGCTCTTTACGGTGCTTCAAAGTATGTTAGCCATACTAAAATAGTTCAGCTTGTCCTAGGCCGAGACAATAGATACCTGGGGGATGCGTCCCCCTCGAATCCCACGACTTGATGTATCAACAGAATGGTACATTCTTCATCGAAACAAAAATTGAACTTAATGACTCGTTTTCTAATTACCCTGTAAGAGTTATGAATTCAAAAAACTGCATTTTGGCAGGGAGGGGTCCCATAATTACTTATTGGAATAAATGCTTAGCAATCGATTGAGTTAAGATAGAAGTCATTGCAGAAAATAACATAAACAGACATGACCTCATTTTACTGGTCTGACATTGATCAAGTTTCTAAACTATAGTGATATCAGATCAATACCTGCCTCCATTCAAACAAGAACACAAACGCAAAGAAAACGCATTTTAAGAACAAAATGAAGACTCTAGGCACAATTGGGAATGATACACCGTGATTTTTGTCACAGGCTACACACTGCCCAAGAATGCATTTATATCTCGATTATTTCCTTTTCCTGTTACCCTTGTTTGGGGTAAGAAGTAACATTAGCTGGCTTGCCTTCCAAATGGTTACGTCATGAACCCTGAGGGAGGTACCCCACAACCATTAAACCTTGTGTGTAGTTACACCTACAAGGGGTGTCTGAAATAAAATCAGTCGCACCTCTTTGTAGAACTCTTGCACAGCCCCTATTAACCGTTAGAGTCTAGCTGATATGAGCCCAGGTAACAGAGAAAATTAAGAAACTGAAAATGACATTTCATCCCCGTTTTAATAGAAAAATAATTATCTATATTAAACGTGTACTCCACAGCCAGGGTTGGATTGACTTCCTGAAAACCCGCCTCATGAAATTGTGAATACTATGCTTTTTTTCTATTTATTGTGTTTCAATATTATTTGCCTTTTCTTAATCATATTTCAGAAAACAGAATAATATTGATCAGCCCCTAAGTACAGAAATTAACCGATGTGGTAATTTTTCTAGCATAACGTTCTGTATACCACAGGTTAATTGTATTAGGATCTACTTTGTTGATTATCAGGCAGCAACGGAGATGTTATATTTAACTCCCCCCCCAAAAAACAAAAGTACCCGCGGCTAGGGGCAACACGCAGGAAGATGCAGACGGACGTGGTGTATTTATGTGTTGCTTTTTGTAACTCCATATTCATCTAATGGTGGGAATAAATGTGCCTTTCTGTCCTTTAAAATAATTTAATGGTTTGAAGATTTGTCGGCCTTATGTTCAGCTACACAGTGGATCCCGGAGAGGTTTCGCAGAATGCTACATTACACGAATATGGATTTCAAAGGAACTGCAANAAAAAATAAAAAAAAATAAAAAAAAATAATTTGCGGGGTGTTTTGCAGTGAGATAAATGTTCTATAACTGTAGGTTGAGATGACTAACATATCAAAAAGGATTGATGGCATTGCTCTTATCAAACACTGAGTGTTGAATATTTCCCGCAAGCCAGGAAAGGTATATTTTTCACAACATGTACAGGTGCAACTGAATCCGTAATTACTTGTCAGATCAGACAGAATACGCAAACTTGTTAAGTTGTATGATAACATTGTCCATATTTTATGCTTAATTTTCTTTATTAAACATAAGCATTGTGTTCAAGTACAACGCCTGTACACTGTTTAATAGACTGAAGAAAGGGGTATTCAGAATACAGATAATTTATTTCCTCCCTTCTATCCTTTCTATAATGTGGCTCAAACCGTGCCGGTTAATCAATCTTTCTTTTTTTATTGCACCTCATTTGTCTGATGATAAATATACTGTTTTTATCATTCTGGTTGAAAATTTATGTGTAATGTGTTGCTGTCAATGTATACACTTTACATTAGTTAACAAAATTGAAAGTACGTAAAACGGGAATGAATACCTGCATATGTGTTGTATTACAGGTGCTGCTTGGAGGACATTTTCGATCATTGTGACCTTGCTAGCAACGTGTCTTTTATGCATGAATGGATACCTTGTATTCCGCAATCGGTCGTTGTCCAGGAAACTCAAATCACAAACATCTGAACATCATCATATTACAAAAAATGCGACAGCAAACGGAAGCAACGGCAGAACTGTTTTCGACCGAATTCCTAGACCACCCGCAGTAGATCCATCCCCTGACTTTAGTGGTGGTTATGTGGTTTATGATTATGCTGTGCCGACGACTGGGTACAATAATCTTCGCCGAGATAATCGGGATAAACGTTTAGCTGAACCATATACTGAACTTGCAGGGAATATCTTGCCGGTGACTGCAGCCGATGGTTCTGTTGCCTATAATTACATTACACTTAATGATGATACCCAGGTCCAGTTTAGCAAACTCAGTGCTCATGATGAGTGTATCATATATTGATATGCCATTAGCAAAATTGTAACACCGTAATAATAGGCAATCATCCAATTGCGTAGAATGAAAGATAATGCGTACATTTCGCAAATATGGCAGTTTTTGCAGATCATTTGCAAATAATAACTTCCAAATATAGATGTAAATAGATGTAAATATAAAGATTCACAATCTACACTGTTGAATTACTTTAACAATATGCTTAATATATAACATTCTGTCGACCTTATCTGATCTTTGGAGTATGAAACTTGAAACACGAAGCTTTACAAGGGTATTTTATATAACGCAGTAAAATGTGAATATTTGTACTTTAATTTTTAAAATTACAGCGTGTACTTTCGTTAATCAAAAACTAAAAGTATTGGTATTGTTTAACTCACATTTCGATGTCTGTCAGTTTGCATACTTATGTGCTTACTTACTTGACTTCAACGAAGGGGAATATTACGTCAGTTGTTATTTAGAATCTTTCTCAATTACCTTTTATAATCAAGTGGTTTTTATTACATTGACGTTTTATGCTCTTTAGAAATTTTTTTAAGAATCACCGTTAGAGTAATGTGTAGTATAACATATGGAATTGTTAATAATTTTAACATATCTTTTTTCTTGATTTTTATGATATCTGTTTTCAATATATAATTTTTTTTGAATTTTTAAAGATACCATTTTATTGTGCTTTATAATATGCCCAACAACTAAAAATACCTAATATTTTCATACGAATTCACCAATAAGAAGTGAAATGTGTTATACTAGAAATTTGTCTGTACGTGTGTGCAGACGTGCGCGTATTTGTGTTAGCGGGTGTGGGGGTGCACACTCCATTACGTTGCATTTTCACATTTTGATAAAAGACCTAGAAGTCAAGGTTACCTTTTATCACTGTGACTATGTGTTGTTAAGATATCACTGTAAAGAACCGCCTTAGATTAGCTGTATTTTCTTACAAACGTTCACAAATGGTATATATTGCTTTGTTCAAATGAAGAATTGATTTCAAAAGTGATTAGCCAATTACAAGCTTTTAGAATTGCCAGCTTGTTGCCTCATCTCTCTTTTCAGGTTGTATAAAATTCATAGCTACCTTTATCAAAGGTTGATGAATGTTGCAGTAAGGTATAAGCATGTTGATCCGTGTATGTGAAGGATTAAAGCGTCAGCATTTTTTTATTTACTGCTAGTTTGGTTTATTTTCACGAATGTTTTGTAGCATATAGTTAAATTTTAACCGATTGTTTTAATCTTCATGTACTATTTGAAACCAAATGTTTTCGAGTAAGAAAATAAATATTGTAAAGGGCATTCTGTTTTTAATTTGGAAAACAGTTTGATGTTAACTTAGATCTGCACTATAAAGTGCTGGAAAGTTAAAGTGATATTCATTTGAATGTTTTAATTGAGTGAAATTTAGAATTTGTAAAAAGGGATTTAACAGTTATTTTACAAATGGAAGCCCTTGATGTTCTACTCAAGACTTTGTGTTGCAGCTTTTTATGTACGCATATATTGTTAAATAAAACCGCTTATAAAACATTTACTTTCACCATATGCAACCACATGACAGTTACTTTTTGTAACAAGGAAACCCAGTACTACTATGAACGATATCGTTTTTAGGAACTACCACTTTAATGAGAAAAGTGTGTACCTTGATACAGACTCTGTACCGTATGGAAGTTGCTAAAGACAACGTATAATGAGAGCAAGATATTGACACAATCGGTCAGTCGATGGGTCACCGTGTACACTTGATTGGTTTTGCCTATCACTTTCCAGGCACGAGTATTAATTAAATCTAGTCTATACCATCAGCTTTCTGTGGAAATAGGACAGTAAACCTTTTACAGGGGTTGTGTTGAAACATAATGGAATTGTTTTTAAATACAACGTAATACAAAGCATTACACTCTGCATTATACTTCAAAACAAGCGTTGGATTGATTTTCTGAAAAACCGTCTTATGAAATTGTGAATAGTATATTTTCTCTATTTATTGTGTTTCAATAATATTCGCCCTTCCTTGACATATTTCGGAAAGTAGAGTGGCAATGATCAGCCCCTCAGTACAGAAATTTACCGATGTTGTAATTTTCCAGCAAAACGTTCTGTATACCGCAGGTTAATTGTGTTAGGTGTAATCTGTTGACAAAAGTGTAGCAACGGGGATAATATTTTTAGCTTTCAATAAAAAAACACCCGGTAAGTACTTGCGGAAGTATATACGGCTAAAGGCAACACCACGGGGAAAGACGTCATGTATTTGTGTGATTCTCTTTGTAACTCTATATTCAACTGAAGGTATGAAATAAACGCGGCTTTCTGTACAATTAAAATTATTGAATGGTCTTGAATATTTTTTTAAAGTTAACTTCTGCATAAACAACAGGATAATTTCCTCCATATATCCACCAAGTAGCACAGATTTTCAAAGGTTGAAGAACAAGTCACCGTATACGTCCTATTAATCAAGATGATGACAAATTATACATCAATGATACAAGAAAAATCTCTATATAACCTTATTTTAAGATAACCATGATGCTAACCCTTGTAAAATGAGATTGATCGCAAAAAATCCCTGCATTGTAAGAGTAGTTAGCACCCAATAAAAGTTCATCCCCAGAAATGCACTGCATGACGTCACGCCTAGCCCACTGCGCATGCGTGCATTTTTAATGAGTTGCTAGATTGCCATAGGAAAATGAATGGGTTCGCGATTCGTGGGTAATTCGTGAGAATTGACAAACTAACGGCCTGATGCCGATAGACAGCAACGCTGTGCTATGCTTCAAGCAACTCCTGACCAAATATCGCTAGGGTGTTTAAAAAAATTATGTTGTACACACGTACTAAGAAGTTTGCCGTATAGTGCCTAGGCTACCCTCAGCAAAACGCAAATATTTTCAGTTATAGTGATTTTAGACGGTAGATTCACTCAGATACAAAGGGAAATTAATTCGTTACCGATAGCACCAGCTGATAGTTGTAACATACAGAGTCTGATTAAAAAATTTCATGGCAATTGAAGATTTTTTACCACTGTACAATGGAGTCCAAAAAGAGCACTTGGCACAAATGTAAAACTGCCCAGTGCAAGGCCAAGAATTCAATCAGTATTTTCAATCATATAATCAGATTCTACATAAATTGACTGACCATATCACTACTCAGTATTTAACTAATCTTGTAATCCAAAATTCCTATCATCATTTAATAATTATGCAAAATTCTTCTGTCAGATTGCTATTTATTTAAATTTTTAATGCTGCAACTGTTCCAAAATAATCTTGTAGTAAAGGAAAAATGCAAATAAAAAGTGGAAGACCAATTTTACCCACAGTATTCAATTATTTGAATATAAAAAGAATAAGATCACGATTTAACAAATTAAAATAATCTTTCATGAACTCTTTCATGAATAACATATTAAACAAAAATGAAAGTTATAAATCAGTGGTAATGGCTTATTCTGGAATATATGACCTCTGTACATCATCGATCAGTACCTGTACAGTATAGTTACTACTTGGATACAGAGTTAGATTTAATAATGTAACAATAAGAACAATATATATTATAATAATAAACTTCTCTGCACATATCAGACGCTTGTTACCATGAACTAACACTATTTGACAATGGGCTGAGCACTTATCACAGTCTGTGTGCGATGCCATTCTTGTGCTGTGATTGGTTAGTTGAGTCACGTGAAGCCCTACTGCTGCGCCCTCGCGTATCGCGTAAATGCTGCACATTTCTGGCCATGAGTTATAAGGCGATTAAATAACATGACATTATTTACTTACATGTGTAAACTTTGCGGTCTATTTATGAACTATTTAGTGATATGATAGTCTACAGCACAAAACACAACCTCAATGAGTGAACTTCCATTTGTTTAATATAAACCAAAAGTATTACATTACATTACATCACATCACATCACATGATGTCATTATGAAAGTGAACACTGGAATTAACATGTCGTCCCCAAAGATATTTTCGACAGAATTCCCATGCCATGGCTTACAGTATGGGAGGGGCGCGTACTGTGGGACAGAGGCAGAAAAATTGGGAAGATACTGTTTATCGGCTCTTCCCCACCCAACACATCATTTCTGACAACGCTGAACCTGCTTTCAGCTGAGAACAGTATCATTGCCCAATCGTAGGTTGGGTCTCTGAATGGTTCTTATGGAAAACCCCAACCTTCTGGCACTTCGGCGGGTCAAAACTAGCTCCTGTGTCAGCCGATTGGTAAAAATGTATCCCTCTGAATTACGTGCCACATTAAAAAATGACAATCGGTGTTGGGTCTCAGTGGTCACGCTAGATAGGCCAATGTCCCATCACTCACACCCCTATTTTACATGATGATAGGATGACTAGTTGTTATGCAATATATAAATTAAATATATGGGTACCTTGTAGTACTATTCATAACTGCGGTATGAGTGATACTTTTTCCTCGGGGAGTATATATGCTACTTTATAGGCTTCGATAGAAAGGTGTGGCCCTGGATACTGTACATTTATGTCCCACCGACTTAATAATGTAGATCCACCAGTGATGTTATTATTTTTTCTGCTGCGATGTGTCTTTTCAACGGCCAAATCTAGATTTCCTGTAAAACTGCCGGCGGTCTGTGCGTCTTCTGAACGACTTGCCTGCCTCCCCCGTGCATCCACTGTGCAACCTACGGAGTCCTTTACCATGTTCGAGTGTCCGTTGAGCAAACGTTGCATTTTCTGTATCTATATCGGCGATTAGTGCCTCCTGTTAGACCGATGACCGTTTTTTGGGCGTCCTTTAGCGACTGCTGTGCAACCTGGAGTGCTGAAATGTTTAGTCTCGAGTTCTGTTACTTCTACCATTAGTTTTTTAGTGAAAAGAGGAGAATAAAATTATTGAGGCTTCTTTGTGACTTAAGATGCAGTTGTGCTAAAATGCACTGTAAATATAGATAAGTTTAATACACTTAGCATCCAGTTTCGGGCTTAGTTTCTGAAAGCACATTTATTAAAAATTGTGAATGTTCTGTTTTTTTTCTTTGTATTATAAATAAATGTTTCAATATTTGCACTTTGTTCACTTATTTAAGAAAATAGCACAGCAATGATTTACCCTTTACAAATAAAAAATACAATGATGCTGCAATTTATACAGCAACACACTTTGTACGGACGGTTAATTGTGTTAGTTGTGCTGCGGAGGATGTTATTTTTACCTCTCATTACAAAAGTGACTGCGGCTTATTAAGGTACATTTGACGAGAGACAACACAGAGGAAGAAGATGAAGACGTGGTGTCTTTATGTGCTGATCTGTGTAGCTCCATATACAACTAAAGGTAGGAAGTAAACGTGTTGCAATGTACGCTGCTTCAAAGTATATGAGTCATCTAAAAATTATTTCAGCTTATCCTTGGTCATAGATACCGGGGTATGCGTCCTCCTCAAACCCCCCTACTCGATTTATCAACAGAATGGTATTTTCCTCATCAAAACAAAAAATGAACATAATAAATATTTTGATAATTACCCTGCAAGGGGTATAAAGTAACTAAAAAAGCTTCATTTTGGCTGGGACGGGTCCCACCATTACTTCCTGGTATAAATGCTTAGCAGTCGATTGAATTAAGATGGATGTTGCAGAAATAAGGATAAACAGACATGACCTCATTTTACTGGCCCAACCTTGATAAAGTACCTAAGCTTACTATAACAATCCAATACCTGTCTCCGTTCAAACAAGAAAACAAATGCAAATAACTAGCATCTTAAGATTCAAACCAATTGCTAGGATTGATACACAGAATTTTGTTCATTTTTATCAATCGTCACAGGCTTGAATGCTTCCCACGATAACATAAATATCTCTATTCTCTTTTGATAATATAGGTGGATTGCCATTTGCTACATTTGCCATTGAAATGAAAGATGTATATCCTTTTTTAGGGTTAGAAGTAACATTAGCTGGTTTGCCTGCCAATGGGTACGTCATGAATCCTGAGGGCGGCAACCCACAACCACTAAACCTTGTGTGCAGTTACACAGTGGATCCCGGAGAGACGGCGTCGTATGTGGGTTTTTTCAGAGATGGAACTGACACAGCAAACCAAATAGTAGCTATACAGGTATCTGATGGAACTCCCAGGAAATTCAACAGCTATACCTATAGAGCTGATGTGACGGCTTCAGGCTCTGATCCTTCATTCACGTTAACAATCGGTGGAGTCACCATGGCAGATGAGGGGAGCTATAGATGTCGTGTTAACACTGAATTCAATGTAGCCACCGTGACAACTGACGAGCAAATCCTTAGTTTACTCTGTAAGTAAATCACTGAAGTATTAGCATGTTCGATTTCTGTCCATAGAGAGGACGTATTGAAAGTTAAGGATGATTTAGAAGAAATAAGGGAGGAAATCATTACTAATTTAGTAGGCATGGACCAAAACCTTAAATATGGAAATAATATAGCGTTTACCATTAGAGGTTGTGCGCCATCTACTAGGTGTTATCACTTTCATTTCACCAGTAATCATATATAGCTGTAATTGTATGAATGGGTCATCTTAAAGACTCGTACGAAATGTCGGCATGACTCTCATACTTCTTGAATGTTTCACGCGCACCGTCTGTTGTATTATGTTTAAGTTACATACATGTATGAAGCAAGCGTATGTTCCCTATAACGCATATTAACAATTTCGACTATTTTCTTATATGATTCAAAGAGAGTCGACATGACAAAGGATAAACTTAATTTATCACTTGGTCAGCCAAAGAAAAACTTTACAACTGCACTTCTAAAATATTTTGGTCGTAAACTTACTCTGTTTATCCGTGACTCCGGTTCGTAAAAGTCCACCAAATAAAGTAGTAATGTGTAGCGCATTATTTTTGCACAAACAATTACATTAATATTCAAATGATTATTGATGGAAACAACAAAGGGTTATATATACTGTAGCACAAATAGAAAGCAGAACATACTTCCTTAAATATCATATTCTGAATGTATTCGACGAAAACATTTGTTATATCTATGTTTTTGAAACCATATGGTTTCATTTGGTTTGGTTTAGTGGCAAAGATTTGATTTCATATGTAACTTATAATTGTACTACTTTGTAGATCGACCAAACCCACCCCAGATTACACGAGGACCTGAAGTCGCTACAGGCACCTACCGGGTATCTTGTTCCTCTGATGGCGGCAGACCAGCACCCGAGATAAAATGGTTTAAAATGCAGAGTTCTGATCAGATGCAGGTCAAGATGAATGAAACTTCGAACACGGTGACACCCCAGGGAGACACCTTTCTGGTCGAAAGTGCAGTAGAAGTGATGGCAACCCAGGCAGATCCAACTCAAGTATTTTGCCAACTATTGCACGATTCTCTTACAAGTCAAACCAAGACAAGTGTTATAGTGCCTGAGAGTGCTGGTATATATATTTGGTTTGTGTATTTTACTCGGATTGGTAGTTTGGTCATTTCATTTCACTTGCAGACCAAAATAAGGTACTGGAAAAGCCTTAACTTTACCACAAAGAGCTTATATCTTTGTTGTAACATAGTCAGTAAAACATATTTCAACTCCATAATTGTGCGTGCTCGTTTTACTGCTTTTCTGAATCATTCTTCTTTGCTCATGGATGTCCATGAGGTACAATTATTATCACATATCTTAAGAAGTGACTGAATATACTAAATTCCCTTTTTAGCTCCTTCAACTACCACTACTATGAAATCAACTAAAGATGCAGGTAGGTACAATTTATGATGCATTTATTTTTCTTAATTGCTTCATTTTAAAACTATTTGTCCTGATAAAAAAGAATGGACGTGTTAAGTCACTCATTCATTTCTTATACCTTATCCTGTTTTACCTATTTACATGGAATGCACATCCGTACATTTATTAAATAAAATGTACAGTTTTGAAATAATCCAAAGTCTAATTCTTACGTTAAGAACTATATAAAAACCCCTGAAATATAAGTGCCTGACGTCGGTTGTTATTTTTGAAATATACAAGATGACATAGCTTTCTAAATAACTGGTGAGTAAACGCCGAATAGAGTGCCTTAAACATTAAGTTTTAAATGTAAATATCCTTCAAAAAGTGAACCAAAAAGCCTTGCAACTCTTAAAAGTTGGCAATATTTAAAATAATATAGTCACATTGATCTATGAGAGTTCCAATACCAAAAATATACTCCAACACTCACTCGTTCGTGTTTTATTTTATTGCTCCACATTTCTGCATTATTTTCCTTTGCAAGGGGATCGACAAGCCCCCAATGATGCAAGGATTATAATTAGTTTTCTCTCGGCAAGTAGTCGATTGAATAATAAGTGCCTCTTTATGTTTTTTTCAGCTCTCTCAGCTAACAAACCTGCAAAATCTACAGGAGGTAGGTGCAGTTCGGAGTAAATTGTTTTCGTTTGCTTCAAAATATGATAAAAAATTTTCAAGCCAACCATAAAGTACTCGTTAGTTTAAGTCAATTCTCACGCTTTATCTGGCATAGCCAATTGGAAGATCATACAGGTCTACATTCCACCACAACCTTTCCAGTTGTAATACAAACAATCTTAGTCAGTTTAGGTGACGCTAATTATTTTTCAGGGAATATACTTGGTTAGATATAAATTTATTTCATTTATAGTCTGTTTTGTATTTCCCTTATATCACATGTGCAGTGTCCCCAACTACAACAACATGTAAATAAATCAAGAGCACTGCGGAACACAAACTGAGGTGTACACTACTTAGTACCTATAGGTTGAAGAGGTGGGCGGGGTGGGGGCTTTGGTAACAGTCCGTGAACTTCTACTTGATAATCTTCTTTGTACTGGGACACTCTCATACGGTTAACTATGCTTCGGTATCATAAACGTGAACGTGGTACATCATAAGATTTTCCGGATTGATATTTTACAGTGGTGCTACCAATGTGTATATTATGTTTCAGTTTACAAAAGTCAGATAACTTCTACTCGATAATCTGTATCCATCACCCTTTTTTCTTGGTACTGGGACACTCATCCGACTAACTATGCTTCTGTATCATCCTTATTAATTAAACGTGAACGTTGTAGATCATAAGACAATCCTGGTGAATATTTTAGTGTGGTCGTACCAATGGGTATATTATGTTTCAGTTAACAATAGTCAGAAAAGGATTATACTTGGCAACACATTTAAATTATATCTTTTGTATTACAGGCATTGATGGGGGAGCAGTATCAATCATTGTGATATCGTTGATAGCAATGTGCCTTTTTTGCATAACTGCATACCTCGTATTCCGCACTCGGTCATTGTCCAGAAGACTCAAATCACAAGCATCTGAACAGCAACATAACACTGTTATTACAAACAATGTAACAGAACACTCAAACAACGTTAACAGTCCATTCAATATCCAAGTATCTATGAATCACGCGACAGATCATTCCTCTGGTTTTGATGGGGTTCATGTTGACTATGACGATACTGCATTGGCGAATAGTTACGAAGAACTTCGGCGGGATAATTGTTCAGATGGGCAATACATGGAACTTGGAGAGAACCTGTTGCCGTCTACCGCCACAAATGGTATTGGTGACTATAATTACATTTAACTTTCCAAGGATGACCTCAAGACTAGTCAATTCAAAGGTGGCCCAGATGAGTAATTGTATTGTATAATATGCCTAAGGGTAAAAATATTAAACCCTTAAATAATAGGAAATTATCATGAAAATTGCAGATTTAACGATCTTGAACTCCACATTTTGTGGCAGTACAATAGTTGAAGATGTTTCGTTATACATGCAGTCAGGAACCTCTCAACATGTACTTGGTTCGTAATTAAAAAGATCCACAATGTTCAATGTATAACAAAATGACTTGAAGAAATTTAAATTTACATGTATATGTCATACAATCATCAAAGTGTTATGCTTCTTGCATACAAGTATATGACGCAGCCAAAACATTTTATAGTAATTGATTCCGATTTTAAGTATTTTCACACTGTACAGTATTGAATTATGATAACATGCTAGTTTGGTGTCGCAAGCTACGACTAAACTGTTAAGGGAGCACATCTGTGATTTTAGGCATTAATAAAATCAATTAATTGTTGAAAACTTGTTGGTATTGGCTGTAATACTTTTGTTACTTTCCTAGACTGCGTTGCATTTTCACATTACGTATGACGATTCAAAGAATTTGCTTTCACTGTGTCAATGTGTTGCTTATTACTTTGCTTAAATATATTTATTCCTAGATATATAAATCATCATTTATTGCTTTTAGCGTCTTCGACCTGTTGCCTAAACTTTTGGGTTTTATAGGAATTGTCGCTAGCTTAATCAATTGTAAGAAAGTATTGCATTGAGGAATACACATGTCGAACGGTGTATGTGATAAATTAATACATAAGCACCTAAGCACATAAGCACATAAGCACCATTTCACCTAAAAGCTAGATTGGTTTGTTTTTATGGATGCCAAGAAACAGTTCGTTTATATATTAACAGATGTTTTTATCTGGCTGTAACATGGGTAATTTTATTTTACGTATAGGCATACATGTATTATAAAGGTGTTCTGTGATTTTTAAATCAAAATTAAATTAAATTAAAATTTTAGCATTGGAATAAATTATATTAAAACCGATTTTATTAATCCCTTTTATTGTTCTATATATTAAAAATCCGTAAATAATAAGGTTAATAATATGAAATTAAAAGTAAACAACACTGAAAACTTCTTGATTTTCTTCATTACAATTTGTGCGTCACAAGTTTTTATGTGCGTATTTGTTGTTAAATAAAACCCTTCTGAAAACATCCACGTCCATGCAATCATTTGGCAGTCACTATGTGCGACAATGAATTCCAGACTCAAAATGACATAAAAAATGTCCCTTGATAAAATCGATATATGCTTTACAGTGTAGAAATAGCACAACAAAATACAGTGTATCACTAAAGCCCCCGTCACTGAATGCATGCTTTCTGCGACTCTCTACGAGCAAAGATGTAGCCTGCAGGACGCTCAGTGGTCGCCAATGCAAGAAACCGTGTCCGTGTAAATGTCTGTTACCCTTATGTGTGTTTTCAACGACCAAGGCTGGATTTCATGTCCAATTGCCAGCGACCTGAATGACTTCCCTGCCTCCCACGTGAGTCCACTGTGCAGCCTACAACGTCCATTGCGATGTTTGAGCATCCATTGAGCAACCAGGTTGTGATTTCTGTACCTTCATCAGCGATCAGTGGCGACCATTCTACGATCTTTCTACGATATTATGCTAGACCGATGGCCGTTGTTTGGGCGTCCTTTGGCGACTGCTTTGCGACCGGAAGTGCTGAAATTTTCAGTCACGAGCTCTGCTACTTCTATCATTAGTTTTTAGTATCTTGCGAAAATATAAAAATAACTGTTTTACAAATTTTGCATTTTAACAGAATTGAATTTAAATGCAGTGTGCTAAAACGCACTGTAAATAGACAAAAGTTTATTACGCTTAGCATACAGTGTTGGACTTAGTTTTATGTTAGTTAGTTTTATGCCAAGAAATTGTGAATGTTCTGGGTATTTTTTTTTGCTATGTGTTAATAATATTTGCACTTTCTTAACATATTTCGTAAAATAGCACAGCAATGATCAACCCTTCACAACTAAGAAATCCCATGAAGCTGTAATTTATACAGCATCACTTTCTGTACCGACAGTTAATTGTGTTAGTTGCACTGTGGTGCCATTTTACGTATAGGGTAGCAGTGGGGACATTATTTTTAACTCTCAATAGAAAAGTGACTGCAGCTTATTGATGTATGAACAACGAAAGGTAACACAAAGGGGGATCATGAAGGAGTGGTGTCTTTATGTGCTGCTCTGTGCAGCTCCATATTCAACTAAAGGTAGGAAGTAAAAGTGATGCTCTTTACGGTGCTTCAAAGTATGTTAGCCATACTAAAATAGTTCAGCTTGTCCTAGGCCGAGACAATAGATACCTGGGGGATGCGTCCCCCTCGAATCCCACGACTTGATGTTTCAACTGAATGGTACATTCTTCATCGAAACAAAAATTGAACTTAATGGCTCGTTTTCTAATTACCCTGTAAGAGTTATGAATTAAAAAAAGCTGCATTTTGGCAGGGAGGGGTCCCATAATTACTTATTGGTATAAATGCTTAGCAATCGATTGAGTTAAGATAGAGGTCATTGCAGAAAATAACATAAACAGACATGACCTCATTTTACTGGTCTGACATTGATCAAGTTTCTAAACTATAGTGATATCAGATCAATACCTGCCTCCGTTCAAACAAGAACACAAACGCAAAGAAAACGCATTTTAAGAACAAAATGAAGACTCTAGGCACAATTGGGAATGATACACTGCCCAAGAATGCATTTATATCTCGATTCTTTCCTTTTCCTGTTACCCTTGTTTGGGGTAAGAAGTAACATTAGCTGGCTTGCCTTCCAAATGGTTACGTCATGAACCCTGAGGGAGGTACCCCACAGCCATTAAACCTTGTGTGTAGTTACACCTACAAGGGGTGTCTGAAATAAAATCAGTCGCACCTCTTTGTAGAACTCTTGCACAGCCCCTATTAAACGTTAGAGTTTAGCTGATATGAGCCCAGGTAACAGAGAAAATTAAGAAACTGAAAATGACATTTCATCCCCGTTGTAATAGAAAGAATAATTATCTATATTAAACGTGTACTACACAGCCAGGGTTGGATTGACTTCCTGAAAACCCGCCTCATGAAATTGTATATACTATGCTTTTTTTCTATTTATTGTGTTTCAATATTATTTGCCTTTTCTTAATCATATTTCAGAAAACAGAATAATACTGATCAGACCCTAAGTACAGAAATTAACCGATGTGGTAATTTTTCTAGCATAACGTTCTGTATACCACAGGTTAATTGTATTAGGATCTACTTTGTTGATTATCAGGCAGCAACGGAGATGTTATATTTAACTCCCCCCCCCCCAAAAAAAAAAAAAAAAAAAAAAGTACCCGCGGCTAGGGGCAACACGCAGGAAGATGTAGACGGACGTGGTGTATTTATGTGTTGCTTTGTGTAACTCCATATCTGATGGTGGGAACTAAATGTGCCTTTCTGTCCTTTAAAATAATTTAACGGTTTGAAGATTTGTCGGCCTTATGTTCAGCTACACAGCGGATCCCGGAGAGGTCGCGCAGAATGCTACATTACACGTATATGGATTTCAAAGGAACTGCAACTCCTCAATTACTGTTCGTATCTACTCAGGTCGGTAGTCCTTAAATTCAATTTTTCATAAAAAACATTAAAGTACCACAAATGTGTCAAAATCCAGGAAAAAAAAAAAAAAAAANTATATTTTTCACAACATGTACAAGTACAACTGATTCCGTAATTACTTGTCAGATCAGACAGAATACGCAAACTTGTTAAGTTTTATGATAACATTGTCCATATTTTATGCTGATTTTTCTTTATTAAACATCAGCATTGTGTTCAAGTACAACACCTGTACACTGTTTAATAGATTGAAGAAAGGAGTATTCAGAATACAGATAATTTATTTCCTCCCTTCTATCCCTTCTATAATGTGGCTAAAACCGGGCCGGTTAATCAATTTTTCTTTTTTATTGCACCTCATTTGTCTGATGATAAAGATACTGTTTTTTATCATTCTGGTTGAAAATTTATTTTTAATGTGTTGCTATCGATGTATACACTATACATTAATTAACACAATTAAGTGAAAGTAGGTAAAACGGGAATGAATACCTGCATTTGTGTTGTATTACAGGTGATGCTTGGAGGACAATTTCGATCATTGTGACCTTGCTAGCAACGTGTCATTTATGCATAAATGGATACTTTGTATTCTGCAATCGGTCGTTGTCCAGGAGACTCAAATCACAAACATGTGAACATCATCATATTACAAAAAATGCGACAGCAAACGGAAACAACGGCAGAACTGTTTTCGACCGAATTCCTAGACCACTTGCAGTAGATTCATCCCCTGACTTCAGTGGCGGTTATGTGGTTTATGATTATGCTGTGCCGACGACTGGGTACAATAATCTTCGGCGCGATAATCGCGATAAACGTTTAGCTGAACCATATACTGAACTTGCATGGAATATCTTGCCGGTGACTGCAGCTGATGGTTCTGTTGCCTATAATTACATTACAATTAATGATGATACCCAGGTCCAGTTTAGCCAACTCAGTGCTCATGATGAGTGTGTCATATATTGATATGCCATAGGCAAAATTGTAACACCGTAATAATAGGCAATCATCCAATTGCGTAGAACACGCGATAATGCGTACATTTGGCAAATATGACAGTTTTTGCAGATCATTTGCAATTAATAACTTCCAAATATACATGTAGATGTAAATGTAAATATAAAGATTCACAATCTACACGGTTGAATTACTTTAATAATATACATTATATATAATATTCTGTCGACCTTATCTGCTCTTTGAAGTATGAAACTTAAAACACGAAGCTTTACAAGGGTATTTTATATAACGCAGTAAAATGTGAATATTTGAACTTATTATTTTATAATTACAGCATGTACTTTCGTTTATCAAAAACTAAAAGTATTGGTATCATTTAACCCACATTTGGATGTCTGTCTGTTTGCATACTTATATGCTTACTTACTTGACTTCAACGAAGGGGAATATTACGTCAGTTGTTATTTAGAATCTTTCTCAATTACCTTTTATAATCAAGTGGTTTTTATTACATTGACGTTTTATGCTCTTAAAGGATC